TCTACTCCGAAAAACCTCCCACCGGCGAATCTATTCCCTCGGCGTCCCAACAACCTAAATTCACCTTCAGTTTCACGTCTTATTGCACTCTCCTTAATCTCGCGGCAGACCTCAGAGGTCGAACCATTCTCTAAGTTATGGTGCTGGGATCCAGACGTTGAATTGCTAAGATGAGATCTCTTGACATCACAACTTGATATACCATTTGAAAGTGCTTTGCCAATTTTGTCTACCTCCAACACGTCCGTATGCTCCGAACTCTTTTTACCGCCCTGTAAGACAGGGCTCCTTACTGAATCTTTACTTCCACCAACCTCCTTGTAGCGATCGAGCTCTTGAGAAACTGACATGACAGCTGCATCAAATGACAGCATACTTCTTTCATCACCTGCCCTTGAATTTACTTCTTTGTCATCATAAAGTGGGCTGCTGTATATTTTTGAAGTTGGTTTGGGTGATTGTTGCCTATTTTTTCGATATGCAAACCAATACGGGGGCAATGGGGAGGCAATTTCATGTTTGCTGAAGCCAGCATTATCCGACCCAAGTGGACTGTGGCCTAAATCAATCCATAATGAGTTATCAGATGATTCGTCTTCACTGAATACCGGGCTCTTCATCACCTCTCCAACAGAAAAACTTTCCGTTTCCTCAAATATAGTGCTCGTAGCATCTCTCTCAGAACTTTCATGATCCATCTCAGTTTCAAATACGTCTCTAACCTGAGAAGATGTGAACGCACCCGAGAAAGCGGGCAGTTGAGATTTTTGACGTGTTTCAGAGGCTTTAACAACATTCTCAGAGATTCCATCTTCTTCAATACCAGCGAATCCATCAAGACCATCAATTGAATCACTCAGGTACAAAGGATATTCAGGAGTTATCTTCACGATTCCTGAACCTGTACTCCCAGAATGATTCTGTAAACTTGCCATTACTGATTTCTTGATCAATAGACATCCAAATCCGGTTGGATCAAATCCAAAAACTCTATAGAACGATGTGACAATGAAATCTGGCCGGAAAAGGGACAGTCCAAGAGAATCCATGTCTTTGGGACCTAAAGATCCAGCATCAAGCAGCACGTGCCAGTTGTTCTGTTGTGCTAGAGCCATCCATTGATACGAATACTTCGCTCCCGTCACTCTAGATTGAACTGGAAACACAAAAAGACCAGTAGCAGAGTCCTTCTTCTTTCTCCTCTTATTCGAAATTTGTTTTCTCAAATCAGTGGAGCAGAGTTTCAGGGATGGCCATTTGAACCAGGCGCTATACACTTTCGCACCTTTCTCTCTAGCACTCTGAGCCATCCAAGTCACAGATTGACTCTCATAATCAAACATGGTCAACAATTTTTTGTTGGTATGAAAAGGATATGAATCAGCAAGCAATTTAAAAGCCGACCCTCTACTCACAGTAAACACAAGCCCATATTCATGCTCAGGAATGTTCAAATAGTCCATGATCTTAAGCTTTATATCATGTTCAACAGTCCCCTTTTCAGCACCACCATAAAGAGCATGGTTGCTCAGATTTGCAGTTATCTCAGACAAGCTAAATGTGGAGGACTCCCAATAGTGAAGTGTTTGAACATAAGAAAAAAGTCCAAAGCCACAGTAATCGAGGCATACCTTTGAAGAAAGGTGCGAGTACTCGTTGGACCTCAGCTGATCGATCTTCTCGGAGGACTGGAAATTCGGGTACATAGTAAAGAATTTGGAGAAACATTCATGGAAGTCAGGAATGTCGTCTTCGGACTCGTAAGTGCGCTCGGCAGCGAGCGCGGTGGCGCGCAGGAATTCCCGCTGCGCGTGGAGTCTAGCGAGCGACCGCGACCGGCCCAAGCCACTGCCGTCGTCCTGGTCGCCGAGTGAGTCGGATTCATCAATATCTTGCGATTTGAAGAGAGACCCATTTTCAGATGCTTCTTCGAGAGCTTCCCTGAGCTTGTTCTCTTGCAGTTTTCGAAGAATTGATGAGCTTTTCTTGGCGTCGTGACCAGTGGCTGACCCATCTCTTCTTCGGCCCTTCTTGTCCATTAATAGAGCAGCAGCGCAATGAGACAGATTTTTCCATAGTGATAGATGCATTTAAGCTCGTTTTCAAAAAGGCAACCCAGAGAGGTTAAGCAGCAAAAGTTTGTGACGAGAATAACAACAAAGGGGGGTTTCTAGCCCATCAAAATCGAAAAATAATTGGAAAAAGAAAATTATCCAGTTTCGAACCCTAGACCCCCAAAAGGCAATCAGAAGGGATCTTGAAACAGATCAGAAAAACCCCACTTCAAAAATACCAGAAATGGAAGAGATTTAAGAACAATTCGACTACAGATGCAAAACCTCAACTCGGAGGAATTCAACTAAAGCCATCCAACACAAATAGTTCCCACCGAATCTTAGAAAATGAACTCGAAATTGACATTCTCTACGGAAAAGTCAAGACAGAGACCAGAACCACCACGGCGAGTCCCGCAAAGGAAAAAATCGTAGAGTCAAAACCTAGAAACCCAGAATCCAGATCCTTAAATTCAAGCACAAAAACCAAACTCCAACAGGAATCACACCAAAAATTCACAAGACAACCACCATGAAATCGGCAATAGCTTCAAAGAGCTCAACAAGTTTTTGGGCCAATCTTGAATTTCTGTAGCAGCTCGAAGAAGACGAGGGATTTTTCACCAGAAATACTCTCCCTTCCGAGGAAAAGCAAGTGAAATGAAGCCAAATAATACCAATCTGTATAATCCTCTCTCTCCCTCTCTCACCTTACTCTTAAATCTTCTACGCTACCTTCTCTTTCTCTCTCTCTCTCTCTCTCTTGGCGGACAGTAAGAAAGGACAAATTGACTTTGATAAACCAAATGGGTTAGATGATATTATAATCCATGCAAATTTAGAATACTTTATGGAGTGACAGAGATAATTGCTGGGTTTATCTTTGTTTCTATTAGGACTTTTGTGATTTTATACAATTATTCCTTTGGCTGTGTTGGTGGAGTAGCGACCCACAAGCCACAAACACACACACCCTTCTTCCTTCTTCAATGCATTGCTGCAGCCCCTCTCTGGCTCTGCCTTTGGCAAAGAGAAAAAAGGTCAAAATATTTAAGCCATTTACCAAGTCCAACCAGGCACCCACTAACTTCTTGATTAGATATCTCCATTTTAACTTCTTCCATCATAACTTCCATTCTTTTAATATCCCTATCTTCTTCTGCTTGGAGCCTTTAAATAACTTGTGATATCACTTTTCCCCTTTCTCTTTTACCCTTTTCAACTGGATGAAGATTCCGTTTCTATATATTGCTTAATCATAATTGGAATGGAATGATTTGGGTTTTCATTTTTTAAATTAGAGATATTCCTATTATGATTTTTTTTTTTTTTTTAGTACTGTTTTTCTTAACTCGTTTGGATCTCGACCCACGAGCTGCAAGTAAATGAACACATAAGTGACTATAGAATTATGCTCACGTTGACATTGTATGCTAGTTGAATTGTATATTTATTTTTTTAAAATGCACTTTTGATGCTTCATATTTAAGTTTTGCATCATTTAGGTATTCTGGAGTGTTATCGGTAAGGATAAAACAAAACAAAATTTCTAATTAGGTTGAGGGAGAGGATGATACCTACTTTTCAGGTTGAAATTTGGCTCGTGGGTGACAGCATCCATTTTTTTGGTCATAGGCAGGCAGGCGCCCAGAGAAGGTTTCAAAGCCGACACCTTTTCAGTTCGCTGCTTTCAAACCATGCAGGTTTGACCGCCGGATTTACTTTTCTTTTTTATTAATTTTATTTTTATACAGAATTTCTCATTCGTGAAGGTCAATGAAGTTTTAATTATTAAAAAAAAAAGTTGATTGATAAATAGCGTGCGAGGACCAAATTTCAGTTGATTAATAGATAGTTGCACTTTTTTTTTTTTTTTTTTTAATTTATAAAATTATTTCAATAAAAAGGAAAAAAATGTTTATTATGTTATATTGATCAGCTCCGGCCCAACACGCGCGCATATTTGTTCATCTTTCTTCCAGTTCTTGAATCCTTGCAGTGGCAGCTGTCCTTCGACTGTGGCGGCACCAAGGTTTCTGAGTAGCCATGGCCGATTTCCTGACCTCGACTCAATGAGCCAAATGGATTTTGGATCCTCAGGAGCTGGTACTGATTTCTTCCTTTGTGCTTTGTTTTTATTTTTTTCTCGTGTCGGTTTGGGGAGAGATATTTACCACTACTGCCGATAATCGATTCTCGTTGGCTTCTGATCAAAAGAGCTTCAAGTAATCTACAATTAGGCGTCTATTTAGATTGCCTTATTAAGCAACTGGAGTTTCTTAATTCTACGGTAACTTGATGCCAAGTGTATGGCATTAGTTCTCAATTGCTTTAGTTGGACGCATTAGTTTTATTGCTATCTGTTCTATGGCTCGGGGAGGACGCAACAAATTGGAAATGTGGAATACAGAATTAATTTTAAATTCGTTTCAGCATGTGCTCTCCCAGGTGACAATTGTTAGGCGAACTTTATTTGATAAATTAGCTGGACGATTGTTGGCTTTTGAGGAGTTATACTGGTTTAAAGGACTCGATGTTGAATCGATGGTGTATCTAAACTGTCAACTTGCTGCTATGATAAAAATACGATCATTTCGACTCCTTTGTTGTACAGATTTGTAGGTACAAAGCGGCTAACCAGAGAGCAATCGAAGCTCTGGAGAACGTATGAATTGAAATGGTACTTAACCAGCGTTGTGTATTGTACATGAAAAGGTTTAAAAATCAATTTTAAAATGCTTCGTTTTTTTCCCAAAACTTCAAATTGCTGACGGCAATTCTCTTCTTCACTTCATATATTTATCTCCAGCAAAAGCATTTGGCATCCGCTTTTATAGTTTTGATATTATTATTTCTGTCAACTAACTCTTATCTTGGCGTAGTTTGGAGCAACACTAATGGAAGTAGATGCTGACGGATCATTGTCATTTCCAGAACCTCAGATAAATTCAAAAGATAACACTAACAGTTCCTCTGCTGCTCTTTTTGCAAGAACGTAAAACTTCAAATTTAGTATTAAACGGCAAACATTCTCATGCCAAAGCTTTGAGTATTGAAGAAGAGCAATTTATGCGAGTATTTTACGATAACAAACTTCAAGAAGTATGCAACAATTTTCATTTTCCTCATAAAATCCAGGTATTCAGATAAGATAAGCTGATTGAATGACCCATATCTCTTTCGCTTAAAGATTGTTATGTATTTTAAATATCGAAATTGTTGTTTATATGAATCCTTCTTTTATGTTTTTCCTCATTTTTGTTGACTCTTTTCAGGCAACAGCTCTTATATATTTTAAAATATTCTATCTACAATGGTCTGTGATGCAACATAATCCCAAATATGTGATGTAAGAGTTTAGATGTATATCTGCTTTATATGCTTAAAGCTTCCCCTTATTTATTGTGATACAATAATTTGACTTTGCTAAAAATCATTTTGAGGTATGAATGTGGTTGAAATGCTTAGCTCCAGAGAAATTGCTTGGACGTGGGATGTACTTTTGATATTACACTCATCTTAGGAAGTTTTGCTCCCTACAACTTCTTTCACTCTCACTGTCGCTATTATTATCATATGAGCCATAGAGTAGTTTCTGGATGTAGCTAACTGTCTCCTTCACAGGTTAACCTGCATTTATGCAGCTTGTAAGATCGAAGAAAATCACGTCTCAGCTGAGGAGCTTGGTAAGGGAATTTCACAGGATCATCAAATTATTCTCAATTATGAGATGATAGTATATTAGGCATGGATTGCTACATGACTTGTTTTTATCATGTTCACTTCATTTATTTTTGCCGTGTTTTCTTTTCCCCTCTTCTCTTATTTATTTTTCTGCTGTTCTACTGTCTGGAATTTGGTCTTATTGTTTATGCACCTTACCGATCAGTTAAAGGCTACGTAAACGACATGGAGGTAAATGTAGTCTTTTTATTTTTTCTTTTTTTAAAATGTGGATTCTCCAGGCGATGCTTAAACTTGATTCGTCTGTTTTTTTCCTGGGCATTCTTTACCTTCTTATAAAGTTGGTTACAATTTTTCCTTCTCTTTCATTGATGTTGCACTTGGTGATAAATGGTGCATATTTTCAGAAACTATTCCATGAGAACACTGAAATGCTTCAAATGCTGAAGGTAATTGTTTCATTGTTCAATGTAATAGATATACTGTTGTATGGGTATGTCCGGTCTTTCAGTTTTTACAGTAAACCTGTTGACCAATGCACTGATTTAATTGGTGAAATTTCTTTCCATGGAGGCACAGATAACTCTAGTCTATTTGCTGCTAATTTCAATGTGAAGTCAGAATTATTTGCTGCTTTTTTCTGAGCATTATTACAATCAGTCAATGAGATCAAAGAAACCTGTGCATGTGTTGACAAGAAATAAATGCATTGATCAGACATATAAAACAAGGGGCAGCTAGGAGTCAAGCTCCTAAAACAGAGCCTAGTGAGTTTTTTTTTTTTTTTTTTTTTTAATTAAAGTTGCTTTACAACTTTCTCAACTTCAATTATTGTAAGATCCGCAGGTATTCCTTGAGATTATCAGAAGTATGAGTAGGAAGAAAATAGAGTGAGATGAAAAAGTGTGTTTTTAGTAAGAACGTTGCCTTATTTATTTTAATAGAAAACAATTTTTTGTTACATATGCGAAAGTTGCCTCTCGTATAATTGCAAGATAGTTTTTTTTTAGTTCAAACTAGGGGTGGGGTGGGTTTTTATCCTCGAACTGTTAGTGAGTTTATTGGTTGACATACTTGTAACATAGTTGCATCAAGGAAAAATCGATGCTTATCTTATGTCTCTCTCTCTCTCTGCCCCTTTTTTAAAACTCTAATTTATATTTTTTTATTATTTACATCATGCATTTTGAACAGAACTGTCTCATTGTAATTTACATAAAAGTACTTGATATAAAAATTAACCGTTTGTTGACTTTGTTTGTGATTTCTGAAGGAAACAGCAATGTCAGAGGTTGATAATATTATGTTAACAGATGCCCCACTCCTCTTCCCCCCTGGGCAGGTGCTTGTTTTCTATTATATTTCAAGTACTAAATTTTCTAATTTAAGACTTGAATCTCTTCAATGATTCTTTAATGTACTGGCGCTACAATTGAATTATTAGTGGACTGAACTTAAACTTTTGAATTTACCCTCGGCTAATCATTTCTTCAGTTCAACACATGGGTAGATGACGTTCCATTTCGTAGTTCAATAAAGAAATTCAGTTTTCATAGTTGTCACATCAGGATCTTTTCATAATTCTTTATTGTGTTTGTCGGGTTTCATCTCAGGAATTCCCTTTGAATTATTTTCGTAATTATTCCTTATAACTGGAGGGTGGGTGGGAGAATGGTCTGGTCTGGTTATGCGTAAAATAGCTTGATGACTTCGATAGGTAAAACGTTTACTGCTCATCTACATTCGTGGAGTTATTTAAAAATTTCCGTCTCGGAAAAAAATTACAATGGTGGATTTGTTATTGCATGCTCTTAGACAGTTTCGTTAGGGATTGTAATTCCATTTAAGTTCTTGTGTTGGTTGAGTAGTTTTTTTTGGCCTTCTAATGTCCTTTTATTTAATTTAATGAAAGATGATTTATTCATTAAAATTTTGAGAAATCGCGGAGAGTTATATGGTAATCATCCTTTGGTGTCTATTACCATCTAACAATTGGAGTATTTTTTTTTTTTTATAAGTTTGGCTCCTATTTTGGGCTTGTCTTTTTGCATGAAAGTGAAACAATGATCTTGATTTTATTCTGGCTGTATTGAAGCCGGTGGAGGTTGGGGGTTTAGGCATTGCGTAACTAAGTTCTTTTGGCAAAATGGTTTTGGTGTTTCTTCAAGGAGCTGAATGCTCACGGTGGAGCCTAATCGCATGTAATTGTGGACTTCACCATTTGGAATAGATTTCAGGTAGTATGTTGAAGAGTTCTAGCCAAAAGCTCTGTCTGCTATTGCTTTGGGTTTTCTTCTGTTTTCTGTTAGTTAATTGTTCTGTTGGAGATGGCTTGAGTTCCGAAATTTTTAAGGATTCTTAGGCAGGAGAAAGACCCTTTTGTGTTTGTTTCCACATCTTTATCATTTGTTTGATGAGAGGATGCATTCCATAGCCTTGCCTTTTCCATCTTTTGATTACTCTTCCTCTCGTTTCCTGCATTTTTGCTGCCCCCTCATTGAGCGAGAGGCTGTGAGGGTGTCAACGTTCTTTCTATTGTGTTTCACTAGGTGACTTCTCATGGGAGAATTTTCCATATCCTTTTTACCCTTTTAGGGAGCCTCTTTATTCTCTTTTTGAAAGGTTAAAATTCCTAAGAAAGAGAAATTCTTGCATGACAAGTTTTGTGTGGGAGAGTGAACACTATGGATCATCTTGAGAGACTTTCCTCTTTTGTTTGTGGTCGAAATGGTGTGTTCTCTGCAGGAAGTAGGAAGACCTCGAGCATCTTTTTTGAGAGTGCCCTTTGTTTGCTCCCTTTGAAGTTATTTTTTCGGGACTGGAGTGCTCTATGTTGGGATAAGTTATTCTGAGCCCTCCTTTTTGGTTGAAAAGGAATAATGGAATGTTTAGAATGGTTGAGACTTGAGATATTGGTGAGGAGCTTTGCTAGGCGAGTAGATTGAACTCATATTTGTGAGTGTTTGTTTATTGGATTTTTTGTAATTATCAGCTTGGCGTCATCCTTTTGGATTGGATTCAGTTCTTATGATTAGGTTTGGAGGGTTTTTGTTGGTGGGCTCATTTCTCTCAATGGAAGCTTGGTTTCGTATCGGAAAAAAGAAAAAAACAAACAAAAAACAAAATAAGGAAAAAACTTCTGCTTTCATGTATTGAAAGATGATTATGTTTAATCTTTTATTAGATAAATTATTTTTAAAAATTAAAAATTAAATAATAAAAACTCTTCCCATCTCTTATTGGAAAATGGCAACATTCCGTTGTTTCCATCCCTAATATTCAATGATTCATTTATTCTTCTCACTTAATGTGCAGACACCTGGACAGTATCCTCTCTCGCCAAAAGTCTGCACATACAATTTACGAGTTCTTTGAGCGTATAAATTCAATTGAATCGTGGGTATGAAATTGTCTTATCTTTTAACTGATTGAATCAGCAGTCAAAAATTTAGACTGTAGTAGTAGTAGTAGTAGGAAGACATAAATTTAGCTGGTTGCCTCTATTGAACATTTATGTCAGTATCTCATACGAATCTGTGGTTTGGTTTCTTTTCTAATGTGTTATTGTGTCGTGCTCTCTGTACAGGTCAACAGACATGCCTTCCCATCAGAAAAGGATTTAAAGCACATCAACAGAAAATTAAAATCTTGCTGGGGACTGGGCTCCAATGACAAGTATTTTATTCAACCTTGGATACCTTAAATAGAATTAGTCTACCTCTTGCTTAGTCTAGTACCCCTTATATGTTGTTTCCCAGCTGCTAATTACAAATTCCATCCAAACTTAGCAGGAGTGAAAAAGGGAGAAGAAATCAAAGCACAAATCAAAGAAGAGTTCGAATGAAACGCAAAATATACCTTCGCACAATTAGCTGTATGTCTGCAAGACCTTGCCTTTTCTTGTTCTTCAAGTTCTGTTGTTGAAGAAAAAACCCCGTTCGAACTTTTATTCCATTGGTCAAAGACTTATAGGTTGAATGCGGGTGTGTGTCCTAAAGGGGATCGGCATATTATTTGGATTTGTTGCCTATGCCACAGCATGTTTACAAATCTGGATCCTCGGTGTATAATTAGGAACATTGCTGCTGGGCAGGTACTCTTATCTTAGCCACCTTTGCTTCTGCTGACAGTCGTTTGCTTTCAATCAGGTAACTCAACCTCGGCAGGGTATGGAGTTCTCATGCATGAAACCAACATCCTTGAGCCGCGTTCAACATGAAAATACGGAAAAGGAAAACATCTTATCAAGCACGGATAAAATTTGTCCCCTCTTTGGTACTCAATTCTCTGATTTTATTCTTTTCTTCAGTCAGCAATATTTGTGGTCAGTGTGACCAAGAAATTTCTGCCAAGTAATGATAACATTGGGACAAAATTTTGAATTTCAGGCTTATTCTGTCATAGATTTTATTTTTCATTTTGTTCTGTAGATGGAAGAGGTTTCTAATATCTCCTTCTTTCCATCTTTTTGGGTTCTATTCCAATTTCTTTCTTCATTGAATAAATCTTTTTAAAAAGAAAGAAGTGAAAATAAAATTTATACAGGTATTTTTCTTTTCTTTTATAAAATGATTTATCTTTTTTTTGTACTGGGAGGACAAAATACAAAAGTTTCTAATACATTTCCCACCAATTCAAATTTTTAAATTTGAGCTTTATGTCTGACTAGTGAGTCGTGAAAGTGTAGTCATAGTGACATTGATGACAAACAAAGTGCTCATGAGAAAGAGGCATTCAGGTGTATTTTGTTCGATGAAAAGATTGTTGAAGTTCTACATTGGCTAACTAAGGAAAAGATTAACAAAGAGAGTGAAAGGGAGGGAAATCTAGTGAGATGCAAAAGATGAGAATGGAGAAAGAGAGATGAGAGACAGAATCGAACTAAAAGGAATGATGTATGAACAGAAAATGCCAAAAACAAAATCCTTAAACACTTTTGCTGTGCATTCCCTGAAACCGACATTTCATCGATTGGTCTATTCAATCCTAAACAGTTTACATAAAAATTGCATTACACCCAACTCTTTATTCACATTTATGAATTTCAATTAACCTATTAATTAGTATAGAATTTAATAGATGATAAAAAAAAAAAAAAAAAACAAAATGTAGCCCTCATCTAATAGCCAACGAACCAGTGAAATTTTCAAAATAAGAATTTGAAATATATTTTTATAAATAAATAAATAAATATTGAGACACCCAATTATTGTTCCCCACGCTGCCCGCAATACATGATTGTCTCCCTCCCTTTCATTTTTATTTCACCCACTTTTTTTTTTTTTTTTTTTTCCTTTCCAGTCAGTGGAATTAAATATACGTAAATAATGGTGGAACTAAATATGCGTAAATAATCGCGGAATTGGGTCACGTGGCATTATTCACTTCATTCTCTTTCGCCACTTTCACGTTTGGAATTTATTAGATATTTTTAAAAACAGATTAATAATTATAGTGTAAAATTTAAAATTCTTACGATACAAAGATGGTTTTAAAATTAAAAAAATCGATTAAACACAATTGAATGTAATCGATTTTAAACACTAAAAGGGGTATTTCTATGAATGACTATGAAATACATCCCAAATTTTAAAGGGAGGGGTATTTTTGAAATAAATAAAATGTTGAAGGGTATAAAGTAAATATAAATTATAAAATATGGGGAGGGTTGAGATTACATTATTTATGAAAGAAAAAGGAGAGCAATAATATTATTGAGAAGAGGAAGAAGGGAAAGAGGGGGAGGAGCATAAAATAAAACTATCAGATAGCTGCTGCTGCTGCTGCTGCTGCTGCTGTTGGTGGTGGCAGGGCAGAGAGACGCAGAGATTCAGAGAAGAATGGGGGTTAGGGTTAGGGTTAGGGTTAGGGTTAGGGTTAGGGTTAGGGTTAGGGCCTTAGGGGTACGTAGCCGACCCGCCGTCTGAATATTGTCGCCCTCAACGCAACACCAACACTCTCTTTAAAGCTGTTTTTATTCTGTCTTTCATTTTTGTCTCAGTCTGCTCTGACCGCTCTTCTTCTTCTTCTTCTTCCTTATAATCCCCATTTCCTCATTTCTTAATCTCTGCACTTCCAATTTTCGCCTCTCTTCCATTGAGTTCCTTCATTTTTCCCTTTTTCAATTTGGTGTTTTTTTTTTTTTAATTACTTATTGTGTCCAATGCCTTCCGACGCTGGTGACCACCGCAAGACTGCTTCCAAGCTCCTCGGATCCGGTGGGGGCGTCTGCCCTCCATCGGAGCAAGAGCACCTCCCTTGCCCACGCTGTGATTCAACTAATACCAAGTTCTGTTATTACAACAACTATAATTTCTCTCAGCCCAGGCACTTTTGTAAGTCCTGCCGTCGTTATTGGACCCATGGTGGGACCCTTCGCGACATTCCCGTCGGTGGTGGTAGTCGGAAGAATGCCAAACGCTCTCGTACTTGCTTTCCCACGGCTACGGCGGTTGTCTCTTCTTCATCTGGGTCGTTGGGTTACTCTGCTTCTCAACTGGATCATCATTCGTTACCGACGACTTCGATGGTGCTGCCTCTTGTCAGTGGCCACGGCAGTGGCGGAGGAGACTTGAAGGCGGCCGGTGGGAATATGTGTGGGAGCTTTACGTCGTTGTTGAACACACACGCTCCTGGGTTCTGGAGTTTGGGTGGGTTCGGGCTCGGGATCGGATCGGGGTTCGAGGATCTGGGCTATGGGGCAGCTAGTTCTAGGGTGGCTTGGCCGTTTCTCGGACTGGGAGAAGGCGGGCACGGCGGAGCGCCGAATGCGTGGCAGTTTGAGAATGGAGACGCCGCCGGATTTGTAGGGGCTGCTGATTGCTTGTCTTGGCCTGAATTGGCAATTTCCACTCCGGGGAATGGGCTTAAATGACCATTTACTTTTTTTTTTTAGTTTTTTAGTCCTTTTTTTTTATATATATCTTTTTGTGAAAAATGTGGGTTTAAAGTTAAAATTTTCTATAATATCAGCGGGGAAAATTAAAATCAGATGGTCATAACCTTTTCTATATATTTATTTTCGTGTCTTGTATTTCTATTAAATGACAAATGAGTAAATGAGTTGTGTAACTTTAAGATAGATTTGTAAATTACCAACAAATTTATATTCCGTCCTCACTCAAGAATAGCACACCTTCTCTTGATGTCAATCCTCACTACTTCTTTGAATGAGAGACGGTCTTAATCATCCATAAACTTATTAATATTAAAAAAATTTATGCATTTGACACATTTTAAAAAATTATATTATTAACCGACTACAATATCCCATTATAAAAATAAATTTAAAAGTTCATAAAATTCTATTTTTGTACCCATAACAAATTATGTAGATATGTATTGGGTGGATCTAAATATAATTGGAATAAGTATGGTTTATGGGTCCATTCAATCTTCAATGATTAATTTTTACGTTAAAATTTATAATTCGATAATGAGATATTATGGCGTTTACTTTAAATTTGTCAATTTAAGATGGAAGCACACCTTTTTCACTTATTTTACTTCTAAAATGGCAATAGAAAATGAAACTAAAAAATAAAAAAAGAAAAAAAGAATGAAGAGTATTAATATTGAATAATAATGCACTTCATAGTTGTTAGTACGACCAGCTACGAAATAAATGAAGCCGGGAGAAATATATTTATTGTGGGTAATTAATGTAAGATTAATTATTATAATTATATATAAAAAATAAAAAATAAAAAAACGGGTAATTAATTCCATAATTTGCTAATCAATCTCTTTTGGAAAGTAATGCTCAGAATAAATGGTCGACTGGCAGCTCAATGATATTGTATTTGACTTTAGAGACCAAGTATTTAAATACCCTCTATTTTTAAATAATTTTAAATACTCTCTTTAATTTCAGAAGGTTTATTGTGTTTCATTATTACTGCCAAACAGAATTATAATTTATTAGATGAAATTTTAATTAATTAATCAATTTGTATTTATTGATTGTACCTAAAAAGGTAAAACATTCGTATTTCTTGTTCCAACCACTGTAAGCTCAGAAACATATTTATTTCAAAGACTAAATTTATAGTTTGAATTAATAAATATTAATTGCATATATATATATTTTGGCACTAAGAATCAATTTAATATAAAATTAAAATTAAAAGACTCCTTACGGTAATTATTTAGTTTTTAAATAAATTAATTAACTTTCTTTTCCTATAATTATTCATCATAATTTTCGTATTTTTTCATATAATTACTTTATTAAAAAGTATTGGGCCGAATCAGAAAGGGCCCACATATGGGCTGGGCTGTAACATTGAAGGTTCGATCCAGATCCAATTAAAAATGGCGCTAACTGAATTTTTTTTGGGGCGAATGGGCATCAAAAAATTTGAAACGAAGGTGAGGTCTCACGTTTTCCCTCTCTAGGGCTTTGGAAGGGGGTTCACCATTTCGCGCTCTCAAATGAAGTATCTGAACTGAACCAGCATCAAGTTGGCGAAGTCATCACCATGGCGTTTTCACTGTTCTCAACTCCACAACCGCAGCAGTCTCAGCAGTTATTTCAATCGCAGCCACAATCACAGCCGCAACTCTTTCAGCAGAGCAGCGCATTGTTCTCACAGAAGCCACAGCAATTTCAACTGCAACAGCAGCAGTTAATGCAGCAACAGCAACAGCAGCAGCAGCAGTTGTTCATTTTTACTTATGATAAGGCTCCTGCAAGTTATGGTACTAAGTGGGCGGACCTCCATCCAGATTCGCAGAAAATCCTCCTTCAGATAGAGTATGTGCTTTTATACTCGCTTTGAAACTTGTTGCTCTGTCCTGTTTTTTATCTTAATTGTTTGCGTTGAAGTTTAAAAGATATTGGGCAAGAAGTAATATTTCGAGTCTTTGATGGGTTTCTGCGAAGAAATGCATTTTTGTATTCAAGCAAAATTTTTGGCCGTTTGGCTAAGGTTTGAACATCTTATGATTTTCCATATTACATGGCTATTTAGATACTGTGTCGCTACAGGGAACGAATTTTGGAGTATCGGGATGAAAGTCAGAGGCTGGATCAGTGTAGTCGCCTCTACGATCCTTCAGTTTCTAATGATGGATTTGAGCTTGATGCCAGTCGAATTGTTCAGGTTACTTTTGACATTATCAGCTTCGTTTTCATTTCCTTTCCTTTCGGACTTCACATCAAATAACTATTGGACAGTTGAGCATATTGACAATATATTTGTGTACCAAGATATGCATGTGAAAATGCATGCAGCTTCATTCTATTTTTCTCATTTATGCCAACTACAAGGCCGTATGGAGGGAAGGATCCCTCTGTCCTTTCATTTTCTGTTGGAAAAGGTGATTGTTTCTTTTGTAGCTGACGGAAGAAAGGTCCACGTGAAACCTGTTTACTACATGCATCCTAGTGTTCAACTTTAAAGCATCTGAGAGAAATTATTTGTTTGAGTTTATAGTATTGAACTGCACATCCATCAACTTCATGAATTCTCTTTGCTTTCATGTTTGATACATGTTTATTGATTTTTTTGTATTGTAAAGTTATGGGATTATTTGAAATCATTACAAATTCCTTATCAGGAACTTGGGGGAATTAGTACGTCTACAGAACATCAAAAAGTACTGCTTCAAGAGCTGATGACTACTGCGAAAGGGATGCTTTGGAACACGGAAGTTGCTATTCGCTCTTTCATGATGATACGCCCAAGGTTCCTTAATCAGAGTGCAGGAGGTGCTTCAAATTCCACTGCATCGCCACAGGTCTCTGGAGCAACATCACCAATAGGTTCTAGTGGTCAACCGACATCTACCTCAATTGCTCCAGTTTTTGATTTCTACCGTGGGCTCCCAAGAAAACCATCTCCATTTTTGCAACAAACTGTTTCAAGATTTGAGAAGTATCTTGGTGAATGTCGCCAGTGGATTGAAGAGTTAGAGCAATTCCTTGCCCTAGATTCTAATAGGAGTGCTTCCAATTCTAGCACTTCATTGTTTCATTCACTTCCTAAAATCATGTCAAATGTGCATGAATTCTTTGTTCATGTGGCTGCCAAGGTAGAGTAATGTTGTCCTTAATGGGCAATAATTTGAAATAATTAGTGGGCCTTTTTGAAATGGTTGTTCTCCTCTTAGGTTGTCTTATATATGCCGATCGATATCAAAATACCCGGTTCTTATCATTGAAGGGATCTTCATCTCTGATAAGGATTGTAATAAGTTGCTCTTCCAAGTGTATATGTCACCGTTGTAAGTTGTTTAGGGGAGAGTGATTGTAAGTAATATAATGTAAATTTGAGTCCCTTCTTTGGCATTCAGTTTGACTTAAATTGTTATATCATGCATGAAAACAGAGTCTAGAATTTTTTAAAGTGATGGTTTTTAAGTTCGGAAAATCTCTCCCGCTTCTTCTTTCAGAGAGAGAAAATTCTTCAACTTATCTACATGCGCATGATCTCACAGGAGAGAGTATTATGCTACACGTGCACATTCTTATAATAATATGTTCAACATTATCCCTCAGGTTGAGAGCATTCATCAGTACATTGACTCAATGAAGGCGACTTATCTTGCGGACCAGCGTTGCAGAGGGGATGGAAACAATCCATTTCTTGAGGCTGATCGAAGGGAAACTGCACGCCAAGAAGCGGCAGCTAAGAGGGTACATCCAACTTCACATTTGCCTGCAAATACACAACCATCAACACAAGCTGCTGGATTACTTGCCAGCTCAGGTAGCCATGGTGCATCAACAGTACAGCAGTTGTCTACAGTAGCTACACCAGCTTCTTTTGGGGGTGGATTGTCACTATTTAGCACTCCCTCTGCTCCATCCACTACATCATCTTCTCTTTTCATGACACCAACAGCATCTGTTCAAACATCCTCTCTGTTTAGTTCTTCCGGTGCAACAGGTCCTACAACACTTTTTGGCTCGTCATCTGCACCATTGTTTAATTCTGCTATTACTCCCTTTGGCAGTACTGCTCAATCTTTTGGGCAATCTGCTTCTGCAGGAAGTTCATTATTTTCGACATCCTTTGCTTCAGGTAAATTCTTGACATATTTTTTTGTTGGGAGTAGTACTGAGCTTATTGTTTATTAATAATAGTCAATCACCTATTATCTATCTTTATCTTGAAATGTTAGAAACCGTCTATTTAGATGATGCTTTGGAAAACTTGCTAAAATAGCAAAAAAGAAATACCCCAAAATTCATATTAATATATTTTTAGACAGCACCGTGTGGTGTGGTAGGGTCTGAGCACAATGGGGCTCTCACCTTCACTTGTGCCTGGTCTGCCGCTGAGGATGCAATTCACATTAAAATACTGGAAAGGAAATGATGAACCATGTGATAGGAATGCCTTTCGATGGTTAGAAATGTTAACCTATGGGTCAAGGGTATATTAGTAATCAGGTCGAGGAGTTTATTGTTAGGAGTTAATCGTAAATGGGCAACTGGGTGGATAGGAAGGTAGTCTGCATAATATGATTGCATTTTGTCATATGATTTTTTAACAGAAATTTTAATCCCAGCAGCCTTTTTGTTTTTTTACTTTTAACTTTCAATTTTATCATTATTATTTAAGCAGTGCTTGATTTCAATCTGTGGGGGTTGTATTTATCCTGATAGATCCTTTGGATCAATGGTTGTTGCCTTGCATTTGAACAAGCTTTTTTCTGTACAAATTGTTAAATGAGTTATAATTCTTGTTATTACCATGTGTTGGCCCCAGTCAATGATATGAGTTTCAATAAGAGAAATTGTATGGGGTTAGTAGTTGCTACTTTGGATCTGTTTGTAACGATGACTTGTACTGTTTTCATAGGTGCTGTAACAGGATCTGGGGTTAGCTTTGGAGCAACTTCGGTGAGTTACATATTTCTCATATCAGGTTTTGGTTCTTCGGTTTATTCCCTTTTATGAAAGTTTTTAGCGCTACTAGTCTATGACTCTGAAGTCTTTAACTTAAGGTGTAACATTCGT